CTGGAAGGCACCAATGCATTAACCATGTGATACTATTTATATCATAGGAGCAAGGGTGACCCAGTAACTTACATGTGTTATGCAACATATTAATGGAGCAAAAAAGAGCATGGTAGATGCACATCTCAGGGGCTTAGATCTCCTTGTCATAGATGCCAATTAAAGTTAATTGTGGTAATCAGGGAATGCTGTGAATGTGAGTGAGACAGACTGTGGCTGGAATCACATACTGGGCATGCCCAGAGATTGCAAGGGAACCATCTAGCATGGTGCCACACGGGTTATAACTCCATATTGCGCTCTGATACTGTACCGTACTGACCATACTCACTAAAATAACCGATGGGAGTCGGACTGCCTGCAAAGAATACATATATGGACAAGTCTGCCTTTTCAGCAATTACCCAGCACACAATTGCTGTTGCCTTGGCACCTACGCATGAATAGACTGATTAAAAATTGAGAGTACGCTAAGCCAGCTTATTCTCCAATTGCCTGGTGAATGATTTGCATTTAAATCACTGAATCCCATTTTGAAAACCAATATCTTCAGAATCTACCAAAGGTTCAAAGGTGAACGCCTACTGTACCATGGTCTACACGGTGACAAATACAGATACAGTATTTAGCTCTAGAGGCCGCACAAAATTATGGGAGAGGTGTTTCACTCTTTTAAATACAAGACACTCCCCAGGGTTATTACTATTTGCAGAATATTACTCTAAGTACATGACAGTATTGTGGAAAGGATCCATATGGGGAAAGACCTTTTTGTTAAAGAATAGGATCCTTTTTTGTTTAACCAAAATCAGCCCCGAAATCACTATCGCCAAACCCACCAGACTGCATTTAAATTAACTGTGACTTTATTATCATAAAACACGTCATTCAAAGTCAAGAGAAACCAAATAGATAATAGAAATACTTTCCTGCTTCATCTTTCCACTGTTCCAACAATCATCAGCTCTGGTTTGGTTGAATTAAACCCTTCATACATCCAATCAAATGTAAAAATATGCCGGCTCTATACACACCTAAATTACTTTTTATTAATATGGATCTTGGTTTGTTTGGCATTGACAATTTCTGGGCTTTTTCTGGATAAACTAAAAGGATCTTGCTCTTTAATAAAAAGGTCTATCTCTGTTGGGATCCTTTCCATAAGTTGTCAGACTCTTAGAATGATAATATGAGTCTATGAGTGGGAAAAAACAAGCGCTTTTAATGGATTTAAATTGACGATTCCCAATTGCCCACAGCGATTACATTGCAGCCGGTTTGCTGCTTCTTGCTGCAGCAGTTTTGCGCAATACTGGACCAATTTCAAAAACTGTTGTTCCCATTACTTACTTAGACACAAACACATGGGAAAATACGGTCCGGGTTGAAAAATACCAAAGTTACCCTTTAACCCGATACCTGAGCATTGCAGAGCTGCTTAAATGAACATCAGTAACAGAATGGTTTGAATTGTGTTGAAGATACATCATATTATAGGGTAGATAATACAGTGCTTTATTGTCATTATTAATAGTTTATCTTAATGAAGAATAAAGGCAAGTGTTTTCTAGGAAAAAAAATGGCTTGATCATATGAGAGATAATGTTCAATTCCTGCATAGTGCTCCCTTGCGTTCCCCAAAATTTCCTGCCAAAGAGGGACTAATAATAATTTCCCCTCACTTTGGTCCAGGTCAAAACATTTTCTGTCATCTGCACAGTTAAAAACAAACATTTATTTCCTTGTGCAACTAAAGCACGTGGTAAGGTTAGAAAAAAAATTATGGCTTGGCTCAACATTCTCACAGGAAGCAAACAGTGGCCTCTCGAGTAAAAGTGTGGGGTTTGTTGAACCAACTCACCTCCACTCTTGCCCACTTTACTGACGCACTTTTAGCAGCGGTATGGTCTGGCGCCATGTAGTGTTATAAAGTCACACTGCTTGGTGATGTATATCGCTGCCAAAGGTGCCTTTTTTTGCATTGGTGTCTGACGTTGAAATCACGGACAAAATGGCGGTATTAATGAGTTGGGAATGAGAGTGGGCTGATTAAAACACAAGGTGTAAAAAGTGAAAAATATAAATAAAAGAATATCATAAATTAAAAACATAAAAGAAAAATAAGAAAATAAAACACTATGTACAATATACAGATGTATACTATCACTGCAGATAGACAGTGTCAGTACAAGTAGACACTATCAGTATATTAATACAGATATAGATCAAAACAAAAAAGCTTACAAAAATGTCTTTGAATAAGCACAGCATATTAATGTGTGTTGACATAAAAAGCTTTACAATCTTAGAATTGATTAATAAAATAATAATCTTAGCAATAATCAATGCAATTAGCTCAGCTTTTCAGTGTAAGGACAATTATTAGTTCATTCATTATTGCAAACTCTACATTTTCTATGATCACTTAAAATGACTTCCTTAGTGGTTAGACCAGGGACCAGCAGCCATTTTTGCACCCTATACACTAATAAATTCTCTATTTTCCTCCAAGACTTTTTCTTTTTTGGGTTGAGAATCCAAAGTTAGCCTTGCTAGAAAGACTCAACCCTCGTCACTGCTGTTGAGGTTCACAAAATTTAGAATAAAAGGTGCCAGGCCATAAACATATGATGCACATTTAGTTGACAAAATGTTTAAGCGTTTTTTTGTTTTTAGTGTTTAGGCTACAGACGTCACAGTGGTGTGGTGGTTGCCTCACAGCAAGAGGGTTCCTGGTTTGATCCCAGGAGCCCTTCTGTGCAGAGTTTGCATGTTCTCCCTGTGTCAGCGTGGGTGTTCTCCAGGTACTCCTGCTTCCTCCTACAGTCCAAAGACATGCAGGTTAATTGGTGACTCTAAATTGTCCGTAGGTGTGAATGTGAGTGTGAATGGTTGTCTGTCTCTGTGTGTCAGCCCTGTGAGTCTGGTGACCTGTCCAGGGTGTACCCTGCCTTTTGCCCAATGTCAGCTGAGATAGGCTCCAGTTCTCCCGCAACCCTCAAGAGGATAAGCGGTTACAAAAATTGATGGATGTTTACGCTCCACTTCTTTTTTTTTTAACAATTTAGGACTGTAAGAATCACTTTAGGCCTACAAAATGGTAAATGTTAATGTGTTAAAAAAAATAGCCTTTATTAATTTCTGTATAAGTCTTTTGTCAAAGCCACAGGTTGCCTACCTCTGATGTAGACGATTAACTTCAGATAACTTCGATACTGTGCTCTTTCTTAAGCGTCCTTTAACCTTCTGCTGCACAGAAACCTCTTCATTTTAGCTGCTTGTGTTTGTAACCAATAAGGTTCTACTCAAGAACTGAGGAGCAGCCCACTGATTTTGTTTAACTAAAAAAATCTTAACTCTATGTCCACTAATACCCTTATCCAAAGCTTTCAACTGCATCTTATGGCCCTCTTCAGCTTGTCAGTTTTATTTTTTTTACACTGAAATTCCACACTCAATGTACTGACTTAGTTACTTGTCTGTCCACTCCTGGGATGCAACAAGCATAAGCTGTGAAAGCCAGTCAGTGTCTTGCAGATCATGTCATGTAAATATAATTCCATTTTCCTATCCCAGCTGACACTGGGTGAGAGGCAGGGTACGCCCTGGACAGGTCACCAGACTATCACAGGGCTGACACATAGAGACAGACAACCTTTCACACTCACATTCACACTTACAGACTATTTAGAGTCACCAATTAACCTGCATGTCTTTGGACTGTGGGAGGAAGCTGGAGTACCTGGAGAAAACCCACGCTGACACGGGGAGAACATGCAAACTCCGCACAGAAGGGCTTCCTCCTGGGATTGAACCAGGGACCCTCTTGCTGTGAGGCGAGCTGCCCTATGTAAATATACATTGATAACCAACTTCATTTGGGTGTAAAACACACTGGACACATGCAACCTAAGAGCTCGTGTTAGGGTAAGGTTGTGCTGTACTGTATCAATATTCTACTTTCTTTTTTGTTTTACAGTGACATTTACAAAAAAGTGACATTATTATCCAAATCAGAAAACATCACCAGAAAAACATAAATGTAATTTTTTCCTCCTTTGCAGAATCACTTCCTTTTTGTTCCGTGCTGTGACATCATCTATGGAAGGGACTAACAGATCCTTCCTCATATCAGGGTGTGGAGGACAGCAGAGAATATTCAAATGCAACAAATACCTGTTGAGTATTAACGTGTTTAAAAAGAAGAAGAAGAAACTATAAAGGGGCTATAAACTGATTGACTGGGCTGTTTATCACAGTGGCCCTGACAGTGATGGTGATGATGATGAGGGGGACAATGATGATGAAGCAAAAGCAGAGTGTGATATCCCTGACACGCCACATTTCTTTTATTGTAAATGGCGTTTCCCCCTCACCTCCTTATCATAACAGAAATGGCTCCACGGTACATCAGTTGCTATCTGCCTTTGTCCCACTGACACCACAGCGGTGACAGCATTGGGTCTGCTCCTTTAAATGAGCCTTTGCGCATAGCCTTCGAATCACCACAACTGCATCAGTGCTGGCTGGGGTTGCTTAGCAACTGGACAGCACAGAGATCCCTGAAGAAAACCTCCTCCTCTGTATAAAACACAAGCTTGTGTGATTCTTGAATTGTGATGTGCGCGTTAGCAATTTTCCAGTGAGGGTGTTTATGTTTCAAACACAAAAGAGCGACTCCTGGTTCGTGATGTAGGAATTAAATAAGTAAATAAATAAATAAATAAAATACGCGTGTTCATGGTGTGCGCGCACAGGGTTGTGTGTGTGTGTGTGTGTGTGCGTGTCTCTCTGTGTGCGTATTTCCAAATTGTGGCAAAGTGGAAGAAACGCATGAAAACGCACAGGCAAACACTCCCAGTATCCTAATGGGTTTCAGAGAGAATAGACAGACAATTGAGCGCATGAACAGGCTGTCGCTGAGGAATTCACCTTAGGTGTCCCCCCCCCCCCTTCCCCCCCAGTAGGACATCATTTTAATTTCAACTTAAAACCAGATCGAAAGGAGACAAGAGACAAGATCCCCTCATCATGTCTCTTTGGACTGTTGAATGTCTGTTTGCTCAGTGTTTGGAGGAGAAGACGAGCGGACCACATTAACGTGTTGAAACGCCATTTAGCGTTGGACAGCGGAGGCAAGTGGGCTTTTCAAACAGCTTTGGCTTCTTTTAATATGATATCCGACGCTGTGATACATGCATTGGCGTATAAGGGGCCATCCATATTTCTCGGCATCTAATTTTTTTTTTTCCACCAGAGGAGTGATATAGCCCGCTCTGACGTCTGCATCAGATATTACCCAGTGCTTTTTCAATGTGCATTTTCCCCTCAGTGACTTTGCGCTGATCTACATCACCATCATCATCAGCAGCAGCAACGGGGGGAAAAAGGGAATGAAGATTTCATTTTTCTTTTTTTTAAACCCACCGCTCCCCTTCAGCCGACCAGCGTTCCCAGCTCAAACAAATATCTTTTAACAACATCACGTTGTGGAATAGTCTGGGCGCCGGAGCATCGCTGGAACCATGCCTCTTCTGCAGATTTGGACTGGGAAATTTCATCCACCAATTTGATCACCAAGAGGCTGCTGCTCAGTCATTCATGCCAGTGTTTGTTTTTTTAAGGGGAAGAAGACTTGTCATCACTTTTAAAAGTATTGTGTATGCTGTTTTTTGAGCAAGATGTCTGATCTTCTGGTGTTGGTCGAGGGGCTCTGTGACCTGCACGGATTTCCATAGCCGGGGAAGAAACAGCGGGGGCCAATTACCACATTTCTTTCTTTTTTTTTTTTATTAAATCAAGAAGCCTGTTTTAATGAAGACATCGCATGCGTAAATGTAGGCTAGTTTATTCGATATTTTTGAAAGGCAATTATTTTTTTAATTGCCAGTTTTTACTTTGTGCATTTTCTGGAGGGACCACTGGACTGGTTGGATTATAGAAACTATATATAAGGATTTGTGGAGATGTTGGGTCGTCAAGAAGATAAATTATGTGGAATTTTCTCTGCTCTGGCGGCTTTGTCCTTCTTCTGCTTTGTTCAAAGGTAAGAAAACGTCGCTTGGGGAGAGGTAAAAAAATTCATTTCACACCAACAGACGTGATTACCGGTCAATAAAAGGCTGAGATGTGGCAAATCGCATTAACGGGGTACCCAGGCCTACTTATTAGGGGCATTGCTGCCGATATATGCTCTATTAGACAGTGCTATGGCGCGCGCGAGCGTAAAAACATGCGCGTGCACTGTATCAAGCCTATTGTGAAACGTAACCTACTCCCGATATCGAAATGGGGATGTACATATGTGTGTGGCAAAGGGCGACTTTTAGTGTAATGCTGCCCAACATGACAGCACAGACCGATGATTAGCTGATGGGATCAATCAGCCGGCGATCGATTGATTACTCCGGGGTAAGCAGCCAGATGTATGAGTCTACAGTGCTGTTGCCACTCTGTCTGGAAGCCTACTTATTGCATTCATGTCTAAAAACGCAAGGCATTCATATAATGTTCCTAATTGCCTCCCCAATTTATTGATCAGAACTAAATCAATGAAAATCGGAAAATAATCTCAGCAGGTCATCAAGACAGGAGGAGGGCTGTGAGATTTCAATAAATATTTCTTGCACCTGGAATGATGACACTGTGAATAACTGCACAAGTCTGCATGGACATCATCACAGTCCCAATCTCCAGATCAATTCCTTTATTGTTTTGTTGTTAAAGGCACTGATAGGCTGCACATCCCTCGTGGCCTACTCCTTTTCCTTGGCTGCAGTAACCCACAGCCTCAGTTATGAGATGTAGGTGCTCAGTGGGAACTGGGTCGCACTTCCCTGACATTTTGATTCCATCATAATAACCCCCGGAATAACAAACGAAAGGGGCGTAATCTGGCATGTATTCCAGGTGTCATTGATATTTCCCTCACTATGATGCTCCCCGGGTGTCAAACCCACAAGTCAACTGTAACCGGCCAGCTTGATGAACAGCTGCACTACCTATGAGCTAATTGAACAGCGCTTCCCTGACTGAGCCGAGGGCTAGTGCTCCTATCTGGGGAGCAATTTTAACCCACTTCCTCCCCTCCTCCCCACGCTCATTCCATCCACACCCTCCTCCAGTAACAAGGAACCTCAGCTGGAGAGCCGGTCTCGGTCAGGTGATGCAGGTCATGGCACCAATGTTATAAGTGTCAGTCAGACTAGTGTGGACTATACGCTCCTCCTGGGGATAGTCTGTCTCCGGGCTCAGACCAGCCGAGCCTGTGTCTCTGACAGCATGATGGGAGGCTGTGTCGAGCCTGTTTAAACACATGCATGAATAAGACTGGGCTTCTACCTAATGTGTGAGCGAAAGAACTCAGTGATGGCTACTTTTAAAGACACTTTTTCTTAAGTATCAATGCTTGACAGGTGTATCGTCATCATAACCTCAGCTGATGAGATGAATACATGTATGTGGGGCTACAAGGGGGGGAATAATGCGTACACAAGGCACATTTTGAACATTTGCCATGACAACACCAGAGTCAGCATGTTTTTGATATAATTGTCTGACAACTGACTGCAACATACAAAAAAAAGTAGCTTCTTTGCAGTGTGAATGTTTATTCTTTTTAGGTGGTGACACAATGTGAAATTAAAACTGAAATTGAGTGTGAAATATAAGAATATGGGTGTGTGTCAGATGCTGTTTAATGCTAAGTCCTCTTCCCCTTTGTCAAAACCTCACCACGTCAGGGCTTCCTCTACAAAAGTGGCGTACATGCCATTATTGAGAACAAAGTGCGTGCAGTAATCATTTATCATACAGCAGGTGTGCTGGGGAGAAGCAAAATGTCTATGGCAAAAGTATCTGTTTTTGCAGCTTTTTTCCTCCTCTATGACTTAAAATGGCTCGTAACACTTGTGGTCTCTGCCCACAGCTCCTCCACTGGAAGCTCCGGAATGTCTGTGGCCAAGACCACCGTGGACAAGTTGCTGAAGGGATATGACATCCGTTTAAGGCCTGATTTTGGAGGTACGTGTCGCGGCTGCATGCGTTTCGGGGCTCTGAGGCTCTGTTGTGGAGGGTATTGACAAGCCAAGGTGTGCGCACGGTGATATTTACGAGCCATTCCCTCTGCAAATCTGTGGAAGAGTCGGCCCGTGGCACAATATATGGGGATGGCTTTGATGTGACTGCTACCATGTCATTACTATGCATCTATTCCCATATCGAAGATGGCTGCTCGTCGAGAAGTAGGGCACACGTGGATAAGAGCAGTAAAACACTATGCTTTTTAAAAGTGGGGATAGTGGATGTATTGATTTTTAATACTTTTCTGATTGGAGATGTTTTATGGCCTCGTTGTGTTACACGGCGGCGTTTCTGCGGCGTTTGATTTGCAGATCAGGAAAACACTTTTGCCCCATTAACTTTTATTGGAAATCGTGCATCTTTCACATCCGCTCTTTAGAGTAATGGTTATTTTGATAATTGCTGAAAATAGAAGGCGTGGGGGACAAGTCATTAGTGTGTGTCATTTGGGTTGATTGTTTTACCGAAGCTATTTCACCAAGACAGACGTTCAACAGTATAAAAATAGCTGGAATTTTCAACAGCAATGAATTTGCTAATGATCAGATTACTTTATTGTGATATTAAAATTACCTATGGCGCCTTAAGTGTAGGATGAATTTAAAGTGCTTCCTGTTTCATCAGCATGTGGGGCCTGGTCCTGTGCAAGGCCACTCACTGAAGACATCATAAGTCAACACTGACTGACAGCCGTAGCAATGGCTCTAACTGAACACAGTGTGTGATTGCACCTATTCATTTCGGCTCTGTTCTCGCTGTATTCAAAAACTTTGTCTGTAGAAAAGCTTATGGCCACTTCCTACAAGTCACTGTCTGCAAAACAAAGAACAAAGGAGGCTTTTTACTTCCAGGGCATGTTAACGGAGTGTGATGTTAATTTAATGAGAGCAAGTAACACAACAGTACGTCTGTCGCCACTTAAATTTCTTCCAGCTCCGGGGTTGCACGGCCAAAAATCCACCATATATGGAAATATATCAACAAGTTGATAAACCCTCTGCTTGGAAAATTCATCATCGTTCCATATTTAGCCGCAGTTGCTTCAAATCTTAGTCAGAAATAATAGGCATGGCATTCAAGTTACTGAAGGAATACACATTAACGAATGGTGGGTAGAGACAATGTGGCATGAATCACCTACAAAATATCTGGATATGCTGTGCAGCCAGGTTATTTGTATTTATACGTGATGATGTTCATTGCCTCAAGAACTTCACATATTTAATCCACTGTGGTAGGTTGGCTTTTTTCTGTAATGCTTAATAACATGTTTAAAATGTAGTAGTACATAGATTATACAGAATTTGGCTCATTGTTATTGTTATTTGTCACACATACAATTTAATGCACTATGACTAACGAGCATATACAAACAACATCTTTCTAAAATAGGCTGCAGGTAGCAGCTTGTCAGTCATGCGACCACATCACACTTGATGAGAACGAGAGCAAGCAGTGAAAAAACATATAGCAGGTGCGCCTCCTCATATAACCTTCCTCTGGTAGGGTGCTCTGCCAAAAACAGATGCTCTGATGAATGCTTATGTGCCAAAATGCGTTAGCCTGATGTTAGCCATTGTAAAAAATATGTTATAGTTGAGGTTACGTCTCCGTTCTGTCTTTTGGAGAGCTGCCATTCCAGAGTTGTTTCATAGATTCAGTGGAAGGAGAGGAGAGCAAGCGGCGAAGAAACGTCTCATTCACAACTGTTTTCAGACAGTAGAGTCAAATGTGTAATGGTCAACAGTAGTGTGAGCATTTCATGTTTAAGAATTTTCAGTTTGCAGCCAGTTTCAGTCAGGGAATTTTTCACTTGCTTCTATAACATATTGACACCTTACTCTGCCCCAGTGAAGACATTTCAAGTAGTGCCTTCATGACAGCTGGCAGCAATTTTAACTCATTTTAATGATTTTGAAGACTTATTGTCTTCTGCACCAGCAACTCACATCACATTTTGAGACATTGCGGCACATTTTTGTTGATACATACTCAACTAAAAACATCCGACAATACAGTAAAAAAAAACTTCACTTTTATATAAAATCCGTAGAGCTGTTCTGATACCAACTCCAGTATCGGAAATGCCTCTGATACTGCCTAAAATACAGTTTTCCTGGAAATCAGTTCTTTTTTGCCACTTTAAGACACTAGCCTACACAGCAAGTTTAGCTGTGCAGCAACTGGCAACTTCTGTTTTAGTGCAGTGTAGAAGAATTGTTTTACAGTAAAAGGTTTAACATTACCTGTTAGTAAAGTGTCAGCAATATTGGCAGTATTTTTCAACGTAAAGTCCCACCACTAAAAACGCAATGCAAACAAACTGTTTCAGGGTCAGTGGTATACAGCAGTTCATTTTTCTAAACGCAAGGGTATCGCATTAGTACTCAGTGCTGGCCGATTTACAGATTCAGGAATCTGAGGCTGCTTTCAGACCTAGAGTTCGCTTGCTCCAAATCAGGAACAGATTTTGTTACAAAGTTGCGTAATTGTCGAGAGTTGGTTCGTGTTCTCACAGCAGGTTGATTTTAGCGCTGGTCATCGTGGACTATGAGGCGCGGCTCCAACTAGAAAACAATGTTTTGATGCATTGGATGTGCTGAATGTGCATATTAAGGCAGTACAGGAGGAGGTGCACATTAATAATCCTCCAGGACTGTAACATGCTCATGTTTAACCCAAACAATGTGTCATGTGACTGCAGTCGGTTCGGATCAAGGTCGAAACACGTTCTCACCACAAATGAACCGCACCAGCGTTCGTTTGTAACCGGACCAAGACCACCTCTTCAAGAAGGTCTCGATCTGGTTGTTTTGGTGCACACCTGAGTGCGATTGCTGTGTTCACACCTGCCCAAATGAACTGCACTTAGGGGGCAAATGACCTTGAGTTCGACTGAACCGAACCAAACAGGGCAAGTGTGAAAGCACCCTAAGTAAATGTTGACTTTTGATTTCACATAGGACACAAACAGCGGTCTCCTGGGTCAAAGCCCTGTGTTTATTTGACCCTTCCCTGATTTCTACACGAAGTTTGTCTCTCTTCATATTATGATACCTGACTTCCTTCTTTGCTCCCATCATAATTACTTAGGCCACTAGTGTTCACAGCTGCCCAAACAAATTGCACTTAGGGGCCAAACAAACTTGAGTTCAATTGAACCGAACCAAACAGAGCAGGTGTGAAAGCACCCTGAATCGGGAAGGTAAAAATTGTATCGGAACATCTCTTAAAATCACACTGCGACATTTCCAAACACACATCTTGTCTTGTGTTTAGTTCTGTATATACTTCTCAGTGTAAACAAAGTAATGGCACATTTGGTTATCTGTATCATTTCAACATAACACAGTGCTTTAAATATGCATGATTTATATCAAACAACTAATGAATTAACACAAATCATGGAACTGTACCATTTTATATCATGTACACGACTGTAAGGAAGAATGTGAGAAAATGGAGGAGGACTTGTTTTGATCTCTGGTTCAAGATGTTTTTTTCTTTTTGAATTATGCTTTGGTATTGGCAGATTTTTAAATGTTTCAAGCTCTCTTGACTAAGGTAACTTCAACAACATATCTATGTCAGTGTTGGTTGCCTGAATATCTGCTGTCTAAAGCCCACGACTGTCTAGCAGCCTCTGAATGCACTGGAGTGGGTAGAGCAAGTTTTACAGAGTGAGTATCCCAGGCAGAGAGTAGCTGTGCTTTACCCTCAGGCAAGGGAGCTGTAGTCCATCATGTCTTGATATTTCCAACATCAGTCAGCTACTTCTGTCGTGACACAACTGCTGACGACCTTCAGCTCTCCAGATTCAACAAAGAGGGCTTTAATTTGGCACAATGCTGGACACTGACTGTGGCTCCTAACCGCGTGGCCAACACCCATATTTGAAATAAAAACTCAAAGGTGTACATTGATAGAAAAAGACCATGGTTTGAACAGTCAGGAAAAGGTTGCCAGGAGAGATGCCATAGGATTTTACCGATATGCTGTGGCCTTACCACCAGTGTAGCCAGATGAAAAGCCCACTCTGCAGTCACTGCCTTCTTCTCCCCATTGATCTGTAAGCAACAGTGGAATTCAAGAAATGATTCACAGACCCAAATAGTAGCTATACCGGCATTCAGGATCTTGCAGGGGAAGTGCATTGTATTCTTTTGAGTTTTTATAGTTATTTAATTTACAGAAAAACTAGGCTTTGTCATATTTTCCTGACTAATGCATCAGTTGTAAATGGTATATGTAACTCTTCTCTTTTTTATGATCTGCTTGTTTGGATTATAGCCCTCAGATGTAACTTCCAAACAAACTGCCCATGGTCATAGAGATGAATCATAGACCACAACCCCCATGTAACCTGAATGATGCATTTCGTAGATTTAGATTCAGCAAGGCAACCAGAGCTTTGCAGACCCGGCTAAGAAAGTATATTTTTTTTGAGGATAGAATCAAGAGTGTAAAATTCAAACTGATGCATACAGTCACTACTACTGTTACCACTTCCCAATCCAATTCCTGAAATAAAAGATGGAGAAGGGATATGTGTTTGCATCACACTCTGCCTTTGTCATCAACATGAGGTCTCTGCCTTCAAGTTTCACTTTGGGAATGTATGTTAGTCACTGTTTAGGGTGGAAATCCCTCTACAGACAAAACTGACTCGTGGATCGTCTCACTTGAGCCAGTGATATATCACAATTACCTTAAAGTGATAGTGATACTAATAGAGTTCTTAATTTTATCCCTTTTTCTTTTCTGTTTTTTAAAAATTCATTTGATACATGTCGTATGAATGGAAGCATCCAGTTGCGAAAAATGCCACCAGATGCCACAGGCGTGCAGTAAAACCATACTTTTGAATATTTGGGAGGCATTTGAACACACTGAACTGCCAATTCAATCAAATGCACTGCACTAGACTTCACCACACCACA